ATATGCATAAATAAGTGCAATGCCTACTTCACACCTCCAAGCATTTCAAAACTTGGGATGTTAAATTGCAGTTAATCAGCTAATTGAGTCAATGGAAATTCCATCGATGAGTCAATAAGGGGTGGGTGCTCACTACCCCCACTGTGGCTCTGCAGTTTAAATGTAGTAGGAGCCATGTGCACAGCCATTAGTTCCTGGGGCTGGTGAGAGCTGGGACTGAAGCGTCCTGGCTCATGCCAGCTCTTGGATGCTGCAGCTCTGCTTCCTCCCTGCCAGACACTGCTGGGGAGAACGGGGAGGGAGTACTCAACCTGACTACCAGATAAGCATATGCTTATCAGGTAGTAAACAACTCATACATCCCTATTCTAAACTACTCACTAGTCCTCAGAAAAACCTTTACCTTCCCAACACAAGAGCTTCCTTTGGAATCATCATTGTTCGAGTTTTGGCTAAATGGCACTTTCAAAGCCTAGCTCTTTCCCCTTCCTTCCTGCACCATATTCCTACAACTGACACAGAATCAGTGATACAGATGTGCACAGTTTAAGGGACTAACTATACCATTCCACATGCTCTGTGGGAAGAGCAACAGGAGATTACACATCAGACAAGCTTCCAGACGGCATTGTGTCACAGTATAGCTAGGTCATGCAGTGCCTGGATAGTGCCTCCTGGGAAACCTACAAGAGTCCTCTTAGCCCTTGTCAAGCCACAAAATGGACAGACACGCACCACCACCTAGTGCAGTTTCTCTCCTCTAGTGTTTTCTATATCTCCAAGAGTGGCAATGCAACCAGAGAAAGATAGAGGAACTGGTCTGTATCATAGCTCTAAGGTGTTCCACACTACAGTCATATACCAATGTCTCTACGTGGATCAAGTCATCACTTACTCACTGAAAGTCAAACGTACAATTCATTCATAAGGTTAACCCATTAGTGAAATTTCTAGACTGTTTTAGTATTCAGCCTTTAAGATCTGGTATCCCGACTCAATGGGCTCAGACTTAGACCATGAGTGGGGAACTTTCTGGACCAGGGCCACTGATCTATTGGGGGGGGGGGGGGGGGGGGGGGGGAGGAGGCCTCCCTGACCTGGCCCACAAATGAGAAAAATCCTCAGATGTTGCCCTCAACTGAGAAGCAGGAAGCCAATTAAAACGAACAACATTCCCCTCACTACCCTCAAGCTCCACCTCAGAGCCTAGGGGGACCAGAACTAAAAGATTGTTGGCTCTCAGGCTCTCGAGAGAGGCCAAAAATGACAGTGTTGCCGAGGAGCAGGGGAGAAACCAGGAGGGACAGCATAGGCGCACATACCTGGTGTAGCTCCTGGGGAGGGGCACACATGGCTGTGTATGCTGGAAGGAACAGCCCCTCGCTGTTCCCATTGGCTACAATTCAACCAACAGAAGTTATTGCACTGAGTGCTGCTTCCTTCCCCTGCCAGGTCAAGTCTACAGGCTGGACCTGGCTCAGCTTGCCTGGATTGACCCCTGGAGGCTCAGGGCTCCCCTGCCTGCTGTGGGTAGCCTGCACTGGCATTCCAGCCATGGTGCCCTCTCTGTGGCTGGAGTGCCAGCTCCTGCCCCTGCAAGCAGAACAGGCAAGCCCTGAAGGCCAGATCAATGCAAGATGCAGGCCATATGTTCCCATCCCTATTTTGGGGCATGGGAGTGAGGGGTACAGTAGGCCCTTCAAAAGTTCAGGTAATGGGAGGGAGGGAAAGGAGATTAGAAAGGAGGCAAGCAGAAAACTCCAGCCTTGACCAAAAAAAAGCAAAGTTTCTACATCAAAAATAGTGGCCAACATTTTCAAAAGTGATTGGTGTGTTAAAGCTGGACAATCTAAAATGACCCAGTTTCCAGGAGCACCTAGCATAGCACAGCATTAACATATCAGCTGTGGATGCTCAGTGCCTGGGGCTCAATATGTGCCAAATCACTTAAGGCAGGGGTCCCAAACTCACAGCCTGTGTGCCGTCTATGGCCTGAGCATTTTCACAATCTGTCCCGGGAGTTCCCCCCCACACTTCCTATCCCCCTAGCCCTGCCAAGGTACACTGCCTTGGGGATTGCAGTGGACTAGTGTGGGGCAGCAGCAGGGGTCAGGCCCCTGCACTCACTGTGGCAACAGGAGCCACGGGGAAGTGGAGCACAGCTGGCTTGAGAGAGTGGTGGGGTGGGGCCAGATCACCCCAATTCCAGCCACCATAGCAGGAACCCCAACCCCTGCTGCCACCCAGCACCAGATCCCCCTGGTCTTCCCGAGGGACACTGCCTTGGGGATTGAGTGCAATGGGAGAAAAGGGAAGGAGTAGTGGTAGAGTTTGGGGTGCAGACACACAACCTTTCTAGACCTCCAGGAGTCCTGGGCTGGATTGCAAAAGTGCTCAGGCCATAAGGGTCTTAGACTCATGGCCTGTGGGCCATCTGACTTAGGGCAAAGTATTTGAACCCCCTACCTAACTTAAGATACTTAAACCCACACCAAAAAAGAGACATTGACCAAAAAATAGATACTGCTTTTTCTCTGAGCTATGAATGGGAAAGGATTGTAATCAGTTATTGAAATGAGGCTTATATGAAGGACACAGTTAAACTTAGACTATGTGGCATCAGTGTGTGCGCTTTGTGGGGAAAAAGTTCTGCCTCCTGGGAGCACAAAGCCATGAAAAGCACAGACAAATGTGGGCCAGACTGAACCCCCTGTTCAGTGGTTAGCAGTTACACCTACAAGAATTTCCACTCAAGTCAGGGGCCGTGCTTGTTGAGAAATACTTCTAACCACACAGAGTAAGGTGCTGAAGCCTAACCCTTAAACAGAAGGCAGAGTGAACCTGCATTCTAGCCCTCCCTTAAAAAAAAAAAGCCAAACACCACAAAAGTACACAAGACATTAGAGCAGTTTCAAGGAAGAAACTTTTTGAAATCAAGCTCTTAAATCCATTCTGCATCTGGCACATCAAGTGCTACTGCAGAAGCATAGAAAAAAAAACTGTTAAGTGACCTTGTGGTACAAAATTAAGCCTTTTGGTCTGAAATGAGAGAGTCAGCTTTATGGGTAGTAACCATAACTGATTTTTCCTCACTGCCCAGATGCTGTGCTAAGGCTGGCCCCAGAGTGTCTAGGGTTTCTTGTGAGCCACACCCACGTTAAAAACACATATGAAGGAATCACTGGCTAGATTAATTTAAGAAAATGAAAATAAGACTCATTGTTCACAGAATCTTTTGCAAGCAGCCAACGCCTGTGATCCTTCCCCTCTACATCTCTACTGCACACCATCTCCCCAACTGCAACTGGACAAAGTCCTCACTGTCTACAAGACACAATTACATCACCTTCCACAGGCTGAACAGAGGCTCTGAACTGCTGGGCAGTAGCCTGGATAAGGCCTTTGGGATTACAGTTGAGACATGTAATAGAGTCTGTCAAAGTTTCTCAGCAGCTGCAATTTATAATGTCCATGGCTGCACAGCTCCACTGTTTGGGCTGCATGTGTCTCTGCTTCTGTTTAGCCTGAACTGAGTGGGGAGGGGCAGGGGAGGAGAATATATATATCTACCCTGTCAGAGTATAGAATGCTGAGAAAAGCCAGTGCAACAAGATAAAGGCAGCTGACACTTGGAAGCAACTTACAGTAGAAACAATCTGCTTAAGCTTTGGCAGACAGCGCACGTCATTTCCCTCCACTTATTTACTGACATGTACAAAGTAAAGCTACTCAAAATAACCAACATTCCTTCTTTTCCATATAGGCATGTTTTAGCCTCTCTCCTACTCTTGGTATGCAATTTGCCCAGCAGTGGAAGCACAATGGGGGCAGATATAGCTCTTATACATTCAAAATGGAACCCAACCCCCCCTCCACACACACACACACACACACACACACACACACACACGAGAATGAGGTGGGGTTGAAAACTAGGGATATTAAATTTCAATTAACTAATCAAGTAGTCGCGGGTACTTCCATTGGCTATTCAATTAGTCGATAAGGACTAGCACAGCATTTCACCTTTGAAATGTACAAGAGTCCCCCACTGGGACTCTTGTACATTTCAAAGTTGGAACACTGCTGCTACACCCCTGCCCTCTCCCACAGAGAGAAGGGGAACCGGATTTTAAGCCGGCTCCCCCCAGCACCCATTCTTCCCCCTCCCACCACCACCCCACCCCTT